AAAGAATGAGTAGGTATTCCGTTTAAGGCAGGCAGCTCATCTTCGGACAACCAAATCCAAACAATTAAATGATTCACAACTTACTCCTCAAGAGTAGTTGCATTTTTGTTTGTGTCTCTCTTTCTTTAGTCGGTTTACACCATGTGGTAGGGTGGTGAAAGAATCCTATGTTAAATTTGTATTGTACTTTTTTTCCCCCAATCAATTGGTATTTTGGATTGGCTTTACTTTTTTTTAGTTCACGTGAAAGAAGAAACTTGTATACTACACAAATTCACTAAGAAATAAACCTCCAAATTTAAAAGATTTAGTTAGAGCATCAAACCAAGCAAAGCAAAACTTGTAAATTTCTTAATTTTGTTCTATTAAGATTTTTTTGTTTTATAATCTAAATTTTATTAAATTCTAAAATAAAAATAATTAAATAAAACATAATTTTTAATATAAAATAATTATCTTAATCTAATAATTTATCTTATACAATCTAATATATCCTCAACCACACAACAACTTCTTAATTTTTATTACTATGATTTATGAAATTCCTTCGCTAGCTTTTGGGGTTTGCTTAAATTTCTTTCTTTGAGCCCTTTCACTCCTCACCTCAATTGTAGGGCTAAAACCAACATTTAGCCTTTCACTTTACAAAATTGATAGGTGTTAACCCCTTATATTATAATATGACACTTTTAACCCTTTATCTTATAAAGTTGATATGTTTTAACCTCTCATCTTACAAAGTTGGTAGGTTTTAGCCCTTTACCTTATATTATATTATGATACTTTTAACCTTTTATTTGTACGAATTAAAGAAAATAGCACTTATTTAATATCAGGTTTTAATATTTTATTAGTTGACTGTCAGTTTTGTTAGTTGACTGTCAGTTCTGTTAATTGACTGTTAGCATCCGTTTGCATTCCGTTAATGAAACTAATAAATAAAATTGAATTTAAATTTCATATTTTTATAATGGAATACTAACAAGTGTTAACAGTCAGCTAACAGATATTAACAATCAACTAATAGAATTAACAGAACGTTATAATCTGATATTAGGTGAAGGTTATTTTTTTTTAATTTATATCGATGATAGACTAAAAATATAGGGTTAAAACTTACCAATTTTGTAAGGTGAGGGGCTAAAACTTATCAATTTTGTAAGATAAAGGGTTAAAACTGTTATATTATAAGGTGAGGGGTTAAAACTTATCAATTTTGTAAGATAAAGGGCTCAATATTGATTTTTGCCACAATTGTAGTACCGTATTTACGGAGTACTACTACAACGTTATTCCTTTTACTTTTACAATATTTTGGGGTTACAGTTGTGTATTATTCACGTGCGGCCCTACCTACTCAAAGTCACCGAGTTTTTCTCCATTCTTAAATAATCGGCGTCTTCTAGTTCCCCAGTTGCTGCATCTCGCAACTTCGCAGTTATTTACACCCGGCTTTTAGTTGAAAATTTTTCTTTTAAAATATGACTACAAATGAATTTAATGTATTTTATTTTTCAAAAATGACTTATAAGATCAAAGTTTTAATGAGATATTGCATAGTAATTTACGCAACTCAATGCATAATGTAAATAATAATTATTGTTATCAATTAATTTGAATTAAATGAGTTTTTTTTTTAAATTAAATTTTAAATTTAAATTTTATAAATATAAAATTATATATAAAAAAATTAATCTGACTTTTAATTAATTAGATCTTAATATTAAAAAATTAATATAAAAAATAATTATTGTTATTTTAAAAAAGGTTAAATTAATATATAATTAATAATTATTACTTTTTATAATTTAAAATTTTAATTTCTTTAATTAAAACCAATAATTAATAATTATTTATTAATTTCAATTCAATAATTACTGTTACATTAAAGAGGAACGTCAATTATTTTCCAAAATTAACTGCGATTTTCACAACCATACTACTATTATAATACTACATAATTTTGGCGCAATTAAGGTGGGACCCGCCAACTGCCGTTCGCGGTTTCACAAGTCGCTTCGCAACTTGTGCCATCCATTTTTCCCCATATCCCAACATGTAGTAAAGCACGTCCTGGGAATTTCCATTTCCCAAATTGACCTTTACTCTTTTACAAATTTATGTTTCCGTTGCCCACTAAAAGTATTTGCGTCCGTATCTTGTGAATTATTTAGAGGCAAATTTATTTGTTTTTGCACATTGTGGTTATTTCCTTTTTCATTTGAGGTAAGGTATTAATTTCATTTGTTGACAAACTTTCTAACCAAAATCTAGGTAAAAAAATGATATTTGAAACTTTATTCCATACCAAACATCCCTTGAGAAGTAAAGGAAGCATAAGAGATAAAGGGTAAAGGGTTGTCAAATTGATTGTTTAAGAAAAAGAAAAGTAATAGATAAGAGATTGTTTAATAATTTAGGACAATTTTTGAAAAAATTATAATGATTATTAAAAGAAAGTGATCATAAAACTAAATGAGTACAATTTAATTAAGAAGGATAAACCATTAAATTTTAAACTCAACAAATTTTTGTTTAAGAATGGTATATATATTTTTTGGTGAAATGTGAGTTTATTACAAAATCAGCACAATATAATAAGCAATGCTTCCTTCAAGCTACTACTAGTATTTGTATAAAGAATGAAATAATACACTAAAATACTACAATTCTAGCAAAATTCATATACAAAGAACAACCAACCCCTAATTTGGGGCATTCTCCCTTGACAAGGGAGAGTTCTTTTTCTTAGTAAAGCCAAGAACTTTATCCAAAACATCTGTTTAAATTCTATCTACAAGTGCAAACAGAGATGTAAAAATTTGCTTATGAATTCTATTATCACGCTTAGTTCAAAATATAGTTTATTCATGCACTCCATGCTAGCTTGAGAAGTGTGTTGCACGAAGCTTTAGGCTTGATTTTTCTACAAAACCAAGTTTGTACATCTTGCTAAGAGCAAGTTGAAGGAACACCGAGCAATAATGAAATTTGTTCCTAGAGTTGCCTTGAGTAAGGACAAGAGAAGAAGTGGTCTATGGATTCACTCGCATCCTTGCATAGAATGCAAGTATCATCAATGGAAGGGGTCCAATGCTTTTGCCTAGCTTTGGTGGAGAGCCTATGTAAGATTGCCAACAAGGAAATAAAATAATGCCTTAATATTGAATGGGATGGAAGAACCAAATAAGCCTAAATCACTGCACTTTGGTCCTTTATCTCTCAAATAGTTTAGAATAAAACTAATTTTAAAGGAATTTGAGGTGAAGACCATCTAAGTAACAAAATCTATCATAGTTTTTTTTTTTGTTTAAAAGTGATACATAATTTAAATTTAAATATAAAAAAAAGACATAAAAGGAGTATTAAAGAATAATATATAGGAGCAATGGTGCTTAAGTGCAAGCTTAACTTTTTGATGCAAATTAAAATGTTAGTCCTTCCTCCACTGATTTTCTCTTTTCTTTTTTGGGGGGGGGGGGGTTAATCTTCATAAGTTCATAACCATAGGCTTACGAAAAATAAAACTAAAAAAAAGTACATGAAAAAGAAAAAAACA